GAATTTAAAAATTTAAAGGGATAGTGCACCCTGAAATTCTGTCATTTATTCACCTGTTGTTCCAAATCCATAAGACTTTTAATCATTTTAGGAAAACAAATTATAGTATTTATTCTCACATCTTTTGTCCATCCACTGATGAAAAAAATGGATATCTGGTTTAATTAAAAATATCTTCATCTGTGTTTTAAAGATGAAAAAAGTCTTATCGGTTTGGAACAACATGAGTGAATAAATTAAAATTTTTGGGTGAACCATTCCTTTAATTCTCAATTAGTTCTTAACTTTAACTGTCAGTTATCCACCTTATTTTTCAATGCAGAAGTAAGCCGTTTTCTGTGAATGTGCAAGACTTCCAGGTTCATTAGCCGCTGTAGGGAAATAAGAATAACAAAATGCACTAAACGGTAAAACTTTTAAACTGTAAATCTTTTGCACTACAAACCACTGTGTTCATAATTAAGATAAATACATTCAAATAATATGGTAAGACAATTTCAAGCAGCAAAATTAGCTTTGTACAACTAAAAATAGCTGGAAGCGAATGACACATGAATGAAACCAGTCCCATAAAATTTACAAATGGCCGCGCCCGCTCTTACGGGAAAAATAAAGTGGATATTGAGCATGATAATACGAATGATCTCTGTTCCAAAACCTACTGAGATGACTAAATAGGCAGCATTTCAATGAATCACACGTAATGGAGAGGAGAAAAAAAAAACATCCAAGATGGTGGTCCAAGAAAGAGATGTGTCAATTAAAATATATTCTTTAATTCAGTTCATACTAAAAATATCTACATTTATAAAAATAAAAAGTTACATTTTTCAGTTAGATTATCTAATATTTCAGTTTCACATATTTTACCGTTTTTATTAGCACTGCTAGTTAACTTAGCAAGATGCTAATGCTAAACTCATTACATTTCTGTTAGGATGCTATCTTAGAAGGTAGCTCACTAGTTTTTGGAACAGAGCAACACATTTTCAGCTTTAAATTAAAGAGATTGCACAATAAACAGCATGGACAATTGCCCTTTTTTGGCACACTGTATATTATACATGAAAAACAAACCAGACAAATCAGGATTATTCATTAGATTAAGGGGGAAAAAAAGCGGGAGGAGTGTCTGGCATGGCTTACCTTGTTCTGTTGTCTTGGAAGGCTGTAATGATTTGGACCAATCAATCGCGCACAAACACTTGTAAGGTTCGCCTCTCTGGCACACGTTCTAATTACAAAAAGTTGCAAAAAAAAAAAAAAAAAAGAACAAAAAGAAAAAAAAACAAAAAAAAAATTTTAAACTGACTGGGCCATGTAGGTCTGCCCTGACCTGAATGCCATCACTGGTCAATCAGAGAGCTGCATGATGTAACTGGACTGGGGGCGGAGCCCACACAGCCTGCTGCGCTTTTCAAGGTATCTGCATGTCAAAGGAAAAACAGTAAAACAAACAAAAAAAAAATGTTCAAATAAAAAGGCAAGTGCAGGTGTATGAACACTGCTTTTGAAAAATAGTGAACAGAAATACAAGAGAAAGACTGAGGGAATGGAAGGGGGAAAAGATCAGGGAGGGAGGGATTCGGTCTGCAATTGACAAAGAAAAAGGTCAAAACTGAAAAGACTAGCAGACAGCAGCCCTCTCCACACCCCAGAGGAGGACGAGGTGCGGGGAGGATAAGGAGGGCTTGGTGCAGCGTTGGGACGTGTGCTTTTTTTTTTAAGCTGTTGAGTAGGCACAAACTTCTTGTCTCAGATCAGGTCTCGCCTTCGCTGTTAACGGTGATGGCTGGTTGCTACGCTCGTTGCGGCCTGGTTCTGTTTCTTAAATCTTTGGTTTGCTCATTTGGTTGTTTTGTGCTGCTTTAGTTTTTCTGGTTTGTAGCAGTGCAGTTCTTCGTCTTGGTCTTGTCTTCACAGTTGTTGTACCGCTGGGTCGTTTTGGGGATGTTCGTTATGTTTTCTTTTTCCTTGACGTTTCTTCTGACCGATCAATGATCTGAACTTGAAGTAGGTTTCAGATGGTACAAAAATCAATTCAGTTTCACTTCATACTGTTTGGGAGGGTGGAAAAAAAAAAAGGATATTAGATCACACAGATAAGTTACACATTAAATGTATTTAGTCCAACAAATAAGTATTTGTTTGGTCACGTGACGAGTGTGACACTATGATCCAAAAGCGCACCTTTTGTTAATAAAAGTTTAATTTCTTCATTTAATATAAGCGAGTTTGTCTTTATTGTTGCTGTTTTCATTAAAAATAAATAAATAAAACAATTGATTTAATTAACAATTTAAGCATTTGTTTTAAAAGAGGGAAAAGACCTTATTTATTTGGGTTACAATGCAAGTAGACTATATCCGTCTTATTCATTTTGTTAATAAAAGTTAGATGTTTAATATAGGCCTATGCGAATTTGCCATTGTACTATTTTATGGCTGATGTGTTTTAATTAATAGGCTAATAATGAACCACAAACTATGATCGTTTTAAAAAAAAGGGGAAATCCAAAGTTTGTTTATTTGTGTTACAATGCGGTAAAACATTTTCCTTATTCATATTGTTAATAAAAGTTCAAAGTTTAAAAATTTGTCATCGTACTGTTTTATTGTATAGCCTTTTGTATTATTATTAATAATAATAATGAGCCACAAACTAAGCATTCATTTGAAGTAAGGGGAAAATCCAAAAACCTTTTATTTATTTGTTACAACGCGGGTATGTCTTATTCGTTCTGTTAATAAAAGTTTTATGTTTAATATAAGCTACTTTGTCATTGTTTTTTATTATTTATTTTTAACACCGCACCCTCAGCCCCCCCATTTTTTCTTGGGCTACACGCCAGGGGGTGCTGCAGCACCCTCAGCACCCCTACTTCCCGCGGTAATGGTTACAAATTGCCATGAACGTGTAATGTAATTTTCATCTTTGGCCGAACTAACCCACTGAAAATGGGGCAAAATGGCTAAAAAGATTGTTTTTTTAATGCAACTACATTACAATGTAAGAGTAAAATTCTGTGGAAAAACAAGTGATTTGATCGCGCCTACAGCGCACACGTTTATAGACCTAAGTGCGTGACGTCGATACCCCAAGCGCGTGCTGCGCTTGACAGCGGCTCAAATATACAAATCACGACCTGCAAAGTACATTAGGACCACTGTTCTTCGTTCACAAGTTAGGTTTCGTTAAAAAGCAAAACTGTAGATTTCCATAGCATACATAAATGACAAAATCAGGACATGAAGCTAAGTGACGCAAACAGCGCTTGAGCAACAGCTGGGAGTGGATCCATCTGGAGCTCATCCAGAAACAAATTCACTAGTAATGCCTTTTTAGACAAGACAACTCCGACACATGCTACTCATGTGAGCATATTGGATGAAGACAAACAAAAGGTTAAAAGTAGAATCTATGGCGTTTCAAACCCAAACAAGAGAATATGACCGTTCTCAACCCGTTTCAATCCAAGTATTTCCATCAATTGTTCAACCTCAACGGGAAAACCATGGAAACGGCCGTTGTAGGAAATCATTTTTTACCAAAATTGCTCTTACAAAAAACAATTTATTTCGTGAGAGACAATTCTGTAGCAGAGTTTAAGCAAAAATATATGTTCACTATAAAAAAATATATATTTTTAATTGATTTTAATTACTTTCCAGGGCCTGCAAAATTACAATTTCCAAATTCCATGATATGTCCAGGTTATCATGACCATAGGAACACTGGTTTTAGTAAAAACTCGTTTGGGAAGCAAGTAAACTCTTTTCCTGTCCTGAGAAAATTGGGTTTAGTTGTTTAACTCCATTTACTATGTGTCGTGATCCTGTCGGGCTTAAAATAAATCACTCAGCCCGACAACAAAGGCGCACGGCGGCGATTGTCGGGTCACGTTGGGCCGCCGCTGCCGCGCTGAAGCCTCGACTGGGCGCTTCGTTTCTTAATAAGTGACCGTTACAAAATATCTCCCATGACGGGTGTGGAAGATTAAGAAGTTAATTTTGTATTGTTGCAGTAACAGTGCTTTAAGCGCTGGCTAGCATGCTAAACCGCTAGAGTACACGCAGAGAAAACACTGCCCCCACCCTAAACCGTATACGTTAACTGTTCAAAAACAAGCAGGAATATTTAGAAAGAGTGATATAAACGCAAACGTCAGAGGCTTAGACGTTCATATAGCCGTGTAAGAGTTATGTGACACCGCAAAATTGAATAAACATATTAGAAAAACTCACCCCAACAGCTTTCAGCACTGTCACCAGCGCCGCCATAAGCAGCACGGCACATTACGTAGTGAGGAGCTGTGCTAACTCTCGCGATATTAAAACAGTACCGTGTGAACTGAACTGTGGGGGACACGCCACTGGGTCAGAGGTCACAATCAAGTAACTCATTTACGTTACTCTGTAAAGTACAGCTAACTTTCCTCTATATATCCACCATGTTAAATGTTATTTTCAGATACTGTAAGAGATTGTGATTGTCAGATAAGTGGCCCAAACTTGGACTTTCTTGTATCAGATTTTATGAAATTCCCTCTAACTAAAAGTATCAACCAACCAAAACCATGTTTTACTGTGGTTTATGGGCATGACACTATGCTAACACTATTATTATTATTATTTTTTTTTTTCTACCGTGGTAGTACATGTTTTTTTTTTTTTACTTTGGAGATCCATAAAATACCATGGTATTCCACAATATCTGTACATTTATCAAAAGTTATTTTTTTTTTTCTACCGTGGTAGTACATGTTTTTTTTTTTTACTTTGGAGATCCATAAAATACCATGGTATTCCACAATATCTGTACATTTATCAAAAGGTATTACCATTTGATACCACATAGCTGATCAAAATAAGTAATAAGTGTCTTTGGATAAAAGAGAACAAAGTTTCAAAGTATGCACTGTGCCCTTGAGTAATGCACTTAGATATAATCCATGAAAAATAGTCATGTTGGCAAATTTTATTATAAAATAATAAATATTATTGTCAGACCTAATTGACAGCTTTTGATAAAAATATGAAACATGTTTTATAAAAGTGACAATAACAAGGTCACACTGAGACTATGCTTTCTACTGTATATCACGCCGTACAGAGAGAACAAAAAAAGAGATACAAATAACACTTAATGTACTCTGCACACTAATATTTTTTCTTTTGTTTAATCCAAAACTGTACCTAATCTAAATCAAAATAAAAAGAACAAGTATGATCACATTATGAGAATATGATTCTTTTAACAACATGAGTCATAAGGCACTTTCCATGGCACTCTTTTCCAGAAGAGGGACAGAAGTATGCATGTAACACTGACAGTTGAAAAATGCAGTCTATGGTAAGAATACACCTTCTTTCATGTTCAGGTTCAGTGAATGGTCCTCTGATTGCTCAGTACTATAGTATTCTCTTTAAATGAGCCAGTAAAACACAAAACAGCCAAACATCAGCCAATGGCTCGCCCAGTTTAGCTCCGACCACTTTTGAATGGTGTGACTGGCCATGTAACCCTGTGTGGAAACAAAACACATGATAAAACAATTCTTACTAATTGAATTTAATATATTTTTATCAGTAGCTGAATATTTATATTAGAATAAAATTGTATCTACTTTTAAATTGCATATGCATATGAAAACGCTCACCTCCTCAGCATGCATGCTGTCCATTTCAGAGTCAAACAGTGATCCCAGATATGTCAGATGGAATATAGACAATGCACTGAAGAACAGGTTAACACCATACACCCACACCATCTACAATAGAAAAAACAAAAAATAGACATATCAATATAAAAATATAACACTATAAGAAATTTCAGTGGAAATCTGTGAACTAGAGATCTCATACTACAAAAACCAAAAAACAAACTAACTGTTTTTATCATGAATTCAGCTGATCCTGCAGTGCAGGACAGATCACCTTCTTATTTTGGTGATGACAGTCATTTGGACAGCGCTTTGACAGTATACAAGCACTGAAAATAGCCGCCAACCGCTTTCTCAGAACTGAAAGAGGAAACAAAGACAGAATTTGAGTTCTGCTGGTTAGACCAATGATGTGACATCTATCATAGATGTTATTATTTCCTACCTACTGAAATGTGTGCCATGATGACTGTATGCATTAGTGTTAATATATTTTCAGTTTTTTACTTAAATCTAATTAATTAATTGATTCTATCAAAGCTGTTTTTATTTTATTGATGGCAAGCATGCATGAATAAACTCAAATTATTGTTTACCATGTTCAACATAAGTGATGAATCCCAAAGACAGCAGCACGGCCCCCAGATGAAAGCTGAAACCCTGAGGCAAACAACACATAATTAATTAATAAAAGAAAATATACTATCATCATCACTATAAAGTTTGGGGGCAGTAAGATTTTTTAAAGAAATTAAAACTTTTATTTAGCAAGGATGCATTAAATTGATCAAAAGTAAACACATTCATAATGTTACAAAAGATTTGTATTTAAAATAAGTGCTGTTCTTTTGAACTTTCTATTCATCAAAGAATCCTGAAATAAAAAACAAATCACAGTCTGTATTAAGCAGTTGTTTTCAACAATGATAATAAAAAGAAATGTTTCTTGAGCACCAAATCAGCATATTAGAATGATTATGTGTAGACCATAAACTTCAGCTTTGCCATCACAGGAATAAATTACATTTTAAATATATACTAAAATATAAAATAGTTATTTTAAATTGTAATCATATTTCACAATATTAGTTACTGTA